TCCGTATAAAAAAGAGCCAGTGAACAAGATACCTTTGCTCCTCCTCAATCCTCCTTTGCTCACTCATTTAATCTATTTTTGGCATATTTCAAGTCTTCGCAGTGTGTATATCAGATGACACGTTCAGGCTATCCAGGAATGCTCCATAAGCTCCAGATAGACGTGGATAACGCGGTAGGAGAAGTCAGGAGAAGAAGAGGAGCCGGTGATGGTGATGAAGAGGGGATGGACGGAGATGACGGAGACTCGGTCAATCTGAACGGACGGCCTCAAGAGCCAGACTTCATGTATGAGTATACACCGGACGGTGCCTATCGGGAGGATGGCTTGGACATAGAAGACGGCGAAGATGGTGCAGAAGCTGTAGAATATGACGAAGGAGAATTATATGTACAGCCGACTATCCAACCAACTGCCGAGGGGCTACCTGGTCGTCTTGGGCAGCCACAAATCTACCACGATTCACAAAGCCTGGAACGTCTAGTTGAAGCACGGGCCCTTTTAACGAATAATTTCCCAGTTCAACATGCCCCTGTTGTCAAGCCTCATGAGGCCAGAGGCCATTCGATACCGGCTAAGACGATCTACTTGTATCCTGACGTCGACAACGGGCCGATGTCTGGATCCAGAAGCGGAGTTGGATTGCCAATACGAATGACTGTCCATCCACGGCGCTATCGAAACCTGGAGGCTCTGCTTTCCGACTCGACGGACCGCATGCCTGGACTGACCTACGGAGCCAGGGCCATTTACAGTCCACGAAGTGGAGCTCAGATTCGAGACATCGACGAACTCGTGCATCAGGGACATTACATCTGCAGTGACAGACTGGATCGGCCACGCCTGTTCAACTATCAGACAGAGCCAGGTCAGTACTTGAGGACCGTCAATCCATCGGAGAGAATGGCACCACGTGGTGACTGGCTCGTCGTAAAATCGCCATCAACTGGCCGACGAAACTACAATATTGCCTCGAGGACGGAGAAAGCAAAGCGCAGTGCCTCAGAGGAGAATAGAGGGGGAACTAGGATGAGCCGGCGGCAACAGGCGCTGGCGTGGCGGACACAAGACGAAGAAGAAGATCTCTCAAACTTTAGAAGGCGAAATGAACACGAGGCCAGGATCACAGATGCTGGAGAGCAGATTGAAGAGAGTAGAAGAAGAGTGAGACAAAACAACAGAGACTGGCTATCGCTTACTAGAAAGGGGGCAAATACTCAAGTAAGTATTATTACAAGGTAAGAGACTGAATCCCTGGGCTCTGGGAAATGAGCTCTAGACTTCAGTACTTTTAATGATCTCAAGCCAACTTGAAAGAACAGCTTATGCGAGACCGTATTTAGGATGATAAACTGAATCCACTTAAGTGAAAAGCAGGCTAATCATCCGAGGGCCAAACAAATTAGCCAGAATTTTTAATCAACTCTTCTTGGAGCAATCACCACCATCCAGTTGCTTAAACAAATACTTTTTAGGGCTTTCTATTTCTCATACTTTGCCCACCGTTTAATTTTAAATAAACAGGATGGATGCCCAATGATATATAAAATAGCAAAAATGGTTAATAGATCACTTGCTACTCATTCACTGCTGACAATTTATTGACTAAGTGTACATTTGGATGCAAGCAATAGCTAATTCAAAGGTCTAATGAACGATATGATATTGTGTCTATTTCAATCGCGGGCCCCATTTAAAGCACAGTTTTAGTTTAGCGTTTTTTCGCAACTTAGTCGTGTCGCCAGAGAGTCCTAGGTAAACTCACCTTGTCCGGGATCCTCTGCCATATTGGTCATTATAAATTTCAGCATCGGACCGTGTATCTAGTACATTTTCATGAGTTTCGCCGGCATCTTAGCCGGTATCGTTGGTGAATCTTGCTGCTCTAAGACCTATAATTAAACCCGTTAAAAAGACAAGTGAAGCCCATCTTTTGATCATTTTCCTTTTGCACAGTTGGAGTACCTCGTTAATCTTGATATATTCCCCTTTCTCTTGAGGCCTATTCACAACCCTAACTATTTTCCCAGTCTAGTCTCATCGTGCTGGAAATGTTGATTCTACTTAACTCTTTCATTCTGCAATTTACGTCATCGAGGTCCTAGTAGAATTTGTCTCCCGTCCTTGAAGATTCAGCTCTGGTCTCGTGGCTTCAATGATTCCATTTGTAAGTTGGCTTTCGAGACTACTAGTCAGCCACATTGCCATAAGTGCCCTTGAGTCGGGGCATATGTGAATTTCAAAGAAGGCCAGGCATTTTCCCATATTACATTTTGTGGTAAGATTATCTTATATCATATATCTGATTTACTAGTAGTCTCTAAAATCTACCTAGATACGAAGAATAAATAATAAAGAGT